TCAAGCTGGCTTTATCGCTCTCTCTTGATGGATCAGTGAATGGTTGGTGAAGTGGATAGATGGCACCACAGAGAGTATGTAAGGCTCTCTGATACAGAAAATACTCGAGTCTTGGTGAATCTGACACGCAAGAACACAAACACAATACAAAGGCAAGCGGCGGCCTGAGCTGTGAAGAAAATTCGGTCACTTTATTGATAATGTAGGGTAACCAAAAAATACAGCTTTATAAAAGCTTGTCAGCTAGCCCTAGGGCCGAAAGTAAAGAAAAACGACATAAACAAAGAAATACAAAAGAGCAAAACACACAAAAGCCAAAAATACAACAAAAAGAAAGTTTACTTAACTAGTTAAAAATAAAATAAAAACTAAGCCAGCTTTCTTGATGCCTTAGGGGCTTCAACTGGTGGTTCCTCGACATATTTTTGTGCTTAAGAACCATTAGGACAAGCCACATTACCTGCATGAATTATATAAATTGAAAATATCTGCTTTTGGTGCGTATGCAGCTTGGTTGGCAAGTTGATGAATATATTTGGTCCTGTTCATGTTTGGTCGAGTTTCTTGAATCTCTTATCCTTTTGATGTCCACTGAAGTATAGTTGGTGAGTGCCTTCAAGAGTTTCTTCAATATCTTTACTTAAAACGTCTTCTTGGTCCCTTGGTATTCTCTCGACTTCTTGGCTTGAATTCAGTATAAATTGATGCTCATATACGGTATTGGCGAGATTCTTGTTGCTTTGACTCCATTTCATGTCAAGTAAATGGGCATACCTTGGTTTGTATTGGGCTTATCTTCTTTGAGGCTCATCTTAGCAAAATTCTCGATATCTATATCGGGAAATGTGGCTCGTTTGGGGGTTAAGCAAGATTCCCATGTTCATGTTGATCAGGAGAGTTTCTATGGCCATGTTAAACCCTTCTCTTAGCCTCCTAGTCTTATAATGTGTCATGGGTGAGCCATTAACCGGTGGTATAGCCATCTCTCCTTGTTCCTCTTCTCTCAGTAAGGTTGAAGGGTATATTTCCTCATCATTTAGATACTTTAAAAGTATCTCAAACCATATAATATTAGTTGTTTTAAAATATTAAATTTTAAAATAAACTTCAATCAATTAGAGAGTGTCAAACAATGTTGACCAAAAAAAAATTGCCAAACAATAGAAGAGTTTTCTATTTTTTTTGTTGCGTATTTCAAACAAGAACTCTCTAGCTATTTTTTCTCTCTTCTATATTTCAATTCTTTTTATTATTTTAATGGTGAAATACCCCTTTAGATATTACCAACGAGGTTGCCCTCAGATATCTTCCAAAGATGAAACACTTTATATAGTAACTAATGTCGGGATACTTGGCAGTTATGAACCGATTACGGAAAAGAGGTGTCCATTGCGATCCCTAATGCAGTCAGTGAGGTGCAGACAGAGAAACTATTAATCATACATTTTTTTGAATGCCCTCCAGCACTTCAGGTCTAGGTATTGTTGCCAATATCAACACCTACACATCAGTTCTCCATGGATGTTCTATTTTCTAATATGACAAATGTGTTTTGGAATCTACCGAACTATGAGGACATAAAGGTATATCCTTGGATTATATGATATAATTGGAAAATATGAAATGATAAGATATTCTCAAAAATTGATAGAGACTCTCCGAGAAATAGTAAAATTAACGATTGCGGAAGCATATGCTTTGGAAAAGGCATAAATAAATGAACTAGTGGTGAACATACCCCAAATTTCACAAGCTAGGATTTTGACCTCTGATGGAGTAATTTATTATACAGATGAATCATGGAAACAAAGTGTACCCAATGCAGAATTACATTGATTTACTCAAGGAGTAGATGTGGAAGGATCATTGATGGGTGCACATAATATAGGAAGAAGTATGTCACCGTTGCACACAAAATTGAAGGCATTAATGTGGGAAATGCATTGTATGCTTGATGCTAGGAGATTAGTGGTGGCTTTTATCACAAACTATTCCGAATTGGTGAAAATGGTGTATAACATAACGGAGTGGCCATTATTCTCATTGCATTTGAAGAAATACAAAAAAAAGCAAGAGGAAGTTTGATTTCTTTTCAGTTTTAAAAATTTTACACATGCAGAATACGAATATAGACAATTTAGTATGAAATGCTTGAAACAAAATTTTATTATTTAATTATTAAACTCAGTTTTACTAGTTTATCTATCTAAACTGTTTTAAAAATATGAGATTATTGAAAAAAAATGAAAAAAAAAATTATATATCGAAAAAAAGAGGAAAATAACTCATATTTCTATCATAATATTGTCTTAATGATATTACCCAAGTTTCAAAAGTTGAGGTGTTCGAAGTTTCAAAAATTTCCTCGAACCAAAACTTTTGATTCTCGCTCAGTATACAAGACACCATTACATTTTAAGGGGGTCTAAGCTGAGACTTCTGTAGAAAATTTCACATTGCTTGTACTGTTCATAACAAAGATGAGCATTCTGCTTTTTTCAGGTGATAGAATGATATCTTTGGAGTGTTTATAAGGGATTTAGTACGAGCAAACTTTAATATTTCAATCAATTTCTTTTTTTTTTCTAAAAGGTATGATACATTTGGTTGTAACCTTTTACCAAACCATTGCCGTAATTAAAGTGTATGTGATACATTTGGTTGTAATGGGTACTAATCATAAAATGAAGAATAGTTAATGGTAGAAAACGATATTTTTATCTATTTTCAATATTATATTTCACCATTATCTTTTGTCATATATAATTATTCCGTTATCTCTTAATTATGACGATTACTTGCTTGTAAATTTTATTTTTATCATTTTGTGTTACTAATTAGAACTAGTACATGAGATGGGAAACTGGGAACGAAACTTATGTATTTAGCAGGCAAAAAGTTCTTTGTAATATTTGTTTAATAATGATTATTTAGTTTTTAAATTATTATATAATCAACCAATATAGACAACGCGGCAAATCCCAAAATGCATGGCTGATGGCTCCCTTCGACGCCACCTACCACCCTACATAAATCTCTCCCACCTAACACACCACTCATGATTTCGCCATTTCTCTTGACTCTTCTTAAATAAAATTATATTACATTCGTTTTTCTTTTCTATTGTTATAACTCCACCTACGTTTACACTCTTTTTGCAAATTAAACAGAGTATACTACCTTCTTATTCTTTATAAAATCTAGCTTGTGACACTGATAATCACTCATTTCATAAGTTTTCGAGAAATTTATCTTCCATTAAAAAATTTGAGATGGCAAAAGATTTGCAACGTGAAAAAAGCAACTACTGAACTGGGCAATCGAAAAACTTTTAGTTACAAAAAAGAAAAAAGCAACTACGAACCCGACTAATTCATCATCTAAGCCACATCTTATGTCGTTACGCTAAAATAAGGTGCGAAACAAGCATTTGTGATGCATTTCTTAAGATCATATAACAATACCAAATGTTGTCCATTGCTACTATTTATTTTCAGATATGACAACATGATGATGCTAGGTTTTTATATATATTAAATATATCAATTATTTTCGACCATTCCTCTCCCACCCAACCTGGTTTGTTCTCTCTCACCATCATCGCATAACCCTTCTCCCCTCTGAAATTCAAAATTAACTTCAGTTTTGTTGATTCATTCTAAACAGATACAACCTACAAGTTACAACCTATAGCAATTTTAAAGATAATATCGCAATTAGTGTTTTTGATTAATTCGTGATTGTATGTTTGTGAGAAGTTATAACCAATGGATAGTGGTTCCAATGATGAATTACGAGTGACGAAAACATTTCAAATCTTTGGTGTTGTATCATTTTGGTGTCTCCATGTATGTCTTAATAAGTCACAAAACACATTTGTAAATTTTGTAATTCCCAATGATAAGTCTGAAATTGCCATTTGAAGTTCTTCAAAATGATAAAAAAAAAAAAAAAATTGTTGGAAAAATCTTGTATAGCCAGACCTAACTTTCTATAGCACAAGAAGTCACTGTTTCAGACTATATTTTGATAAAATATATAATATTTTTAAAAATAAATTGATAAACTACTACAATGTTTGTAATGGTCCCAAAACAAAGTTGGTGATATAGAGCCAGACTTAAATTTCTTGTTTTAAGCGTCCAAATTATTATGATTCGGCTCTGTTTATATCTTTCGACGTTCAGACTAATTTTACAAACAATTGTAAAACCATTTAGTCTAATCTTTTTCTACTTATCAGAAAACAAAAGTAAAACCAAGCTAGGCGTGGAAATATATTATAAATTTATAATGCATGAGTGATGTGTTGTAAGTAGTAAGTTTCGTGGAAGTTATATTGCCAGTTTCTTGTGACTTACCTAGAAATCAAACGGCGAGCTGGTAGGTTTGTTTCAAAACAACTAACTTTGAACCACGTGAGCTTGACTTTTTCTTTTTGTATACACATGGAAATTCAAAGGAAAATCTTCACAAACTATTATTATGATATTGATAACTATTGAAGTCTTATTTTTTAGCAAAAGTGAAAATAAAGATAATAATAATAAAGTCTTATTTTATGAATATAGCTTCTAACAAAATCTTTGTCTTCTCAGTTTTTGACCCCCAAAAAAAAAAATATGATAATTTCCTGTTTTATTTTTCCTTGTAAACACCAGTCGAGTTAATCATTTAATTTGACTTATCTTCATCATTTTCATTTTATCGAATCTTTTTTTTTGGTCAACTTAAACTTTATATTAAAAAAAGGTTCAGGCCCAAAATTAACCCAATACAGAAGAAGAGTCTGAGATAAGTGCCGTCTTTGCTAACTCGTCAGCTTGACGATTCAACTCTCTCGAGACAAACGAAAAGGAAACATAGATGAAGTTTGCAGATAGATTGTGGATATCAGAGAGGATGCCGTATAGCTCCGTCAATCTGTTACCGGTGGTGATGGTGCGTATGAGCACTTGAGAATCTGACTTGATGCAGATTTTGGAGATGCCAAGGTCACTTGCATGTTGGAGGGCTTCTCTAATTGCAAGGGTCTCTGCCGTTAGTGGAGATCGAGTGAAAGTCTTCGTGTTGGATCCTTGTGTTAGATGAGATCCGGCTTGATTGCAGAAAATCCATCCTAGGCCCGCCGTTTTGGTGTCTGGGTTCCATGCTGCATCAGTATTGCAATGGATGGCGTCTGGAGGTATGTCTCTCGGTGTAAGTGATCGTCTGCTCTCTTCTCCAGATTGAGTTGTGATCTGTTTTTCTTGTGCAAGGTACCACTCACGGGCATCAGCGACAGCCTTGGTGAAGGTTTCTTTAGGGTTTTTCACTCTGTTCTCGAAGATGAGGAGATTCCTGGCTGACCAGAGGGACCAGCAGATCCAGATAAGGAGTGAATCCATTTGCAATCATGTCGGAGGTAGTGGTGTCGTTGTCTTTGCTGTAATCAGGGCCTCCGCAAAGGTAGCACTGTGTGAGAGACCCAGTTCGTCTCGCAGGGGAGCCTCTCGCCAGACCTTCTTTGCAAACTCACATTGGAAGAAGAGGTGGACAGCTGTTTCAGGTAAGCCGCATCTTATACAGTTCACGTTCGCTATGAGCCCTCTTTTTGCTAGGTTTTCACCAATAGGTAATGCATTTTGTAGGATTTTCCATAAGAAGAGCTTCAACTTAGGCGAGAAAATTCTTGACCAGACGGTCTGTTCCAGTCAAATCTTGTAGTTTCTTGAGGTTGCGTGAGTGGAGGGGGGGTCTCTTCTCTCCCAGCGTGGTATCCCGAACGTGTTGTGTATTCGCCAGTCTCTTGGGGGAGCCATACATATCTGTCCTTAGCCGCTGATTTGCTTGGGACGATGCTCAATATGTCAGGGGCGAGGTTGGGGAACTCTTTTACCACACACTGTAAGTCCCATTCCTTTGTTGTATTGTCTATGAGTTCCACCACTTTTAGCTTGACGGATTCTTCTTTTACAGGTCCGTGGGGGATAAGTTGTTGTGATATGGACATCCATGGGTCAGACCAAGTAGCTGTGGATTCCCCGTCACCAATGATTATTCCCAGGTGGGGTTTGAGGAGATTCCTCCCTTCAATTATTCCTTTCCATCCGTGTGAGCTTGAGGATGGGAGGTTTGCTCCCAAAAACTCTTCGTTACTGAAGTATTTTCCTTTCATAATCCTAGCGAGGAGGCTGTCCGGTTTGGTGAGTATTCTCCAAGCTAGTTTCCCCAGTAATGCTCTATTAAAAGTTTGTATATCCCAAAAGCCCAGACCCCCACTTTTTTTGAAAGTGTTAGTTTTTCCCACGCCAACCAGCACATTTTTTTCTTCTCAGGGTTCGCATCCCACCAAAACCTTGTAAGCGTCGACTGGATTCTCTTGCAAAGGCTTATGTGCAGTAGAAAACAGGATATAGCGTATGTGGGCATAGAGGCCAGGACTGATTTGAGGAGCGTTAGCTTTCCAGCACTAGAGAGGAATTTGGAGGACCAACTGATTGCCCTTTGTCTGATTCGATCCACAATGGAAGTAAAGAGATCCTTCTTTCGTCTGCCGAACTGTTCTGGTAATCCAAGGTATTTGCCAACACCACCCTCATTCTGGATTCCGAGAGCATTTTTGACTCTTGTTTTGATAGCAGAAGGGGTTTTTGCAGAGAAAGTGATTGAGGACTTACTTGTATTTATCATTTGTCCTGATGTCAATTCGTATTTTTGCAGGATGTCTTTGAGGGTTGTGCAGCATCGTGGATTTGCTTTGCAGAAGATCATGGTATCGTCGGCGAAGAGTAGGTGGTTCAGATTTGGACTCTTTCTTGCCACTCGAATACCCGGGAGGGTTCCCTCCTTGAGGGCTTTCTCACAGAGTCCGGAGAGTACCTCACCACAGAGAATAAAGATGTATGGTGAAAGGGGGTCACCTTGGCGGATACCTCTGTGCGGTGTGACACTACCTTGAAATTGACCGTTGATCAGGAAGGAATACTTTACCGTGGAGACACATTGCATTATCCAGGTAATCCACTTATCAGGGAAGCCCATTCTTTTTAGGACATTTTTTATGAACGCCCATTCGATCCTGTCATATGCTTTACTCATGTCGGTCTTTATCGCCATTAATACATGTTTCTCTGCTTTTGAGGTTTTCAGGAAGTGGAGCACTTCATGCGTAATCATGACATTGTCAGAGATAGCTCTTCCAGCGACGAAAGCAGATTGGTTTTCCGAGATTATATTCGTCAGCACCGGTTTGAGCCTCTTTGCTAACATCTTAGAGATGATTTTATAGTAGATGTTGCAGAGAGAAATAGGTCTGTAGTCTGCTACTGTTTTAGCTCCTTGCGATTTGGGGATGAGTCTGATGTGTGTCGTATTGATGTTTTGTGGCAGGATTCCTGAGTGGAAGAAGCTCTGGATTTCTTGCACGATCCCTGTTCCCACTGAGTTCCAGTTAGATTGGAAGAAGCTTGCAGAGAAGCCATCTGGCTCGGGCGCTTTATCTGCATGAATATCAAAGAGTGCCGCTTTGATTTCCTTCGATGATGGTTGTATGATGAGTGACTCATTCATCTCCGGTGTGATGCATGGTTGGATAGCTTGGTTGATTATCTCTGTTCCATTATAAGGGCTTGATGTAAACAACTCTTGGAAGTAGGCGGATATGACTTGTGATATTTGGCCCTCTTCATGGTAAACTTTTCCTTCTCGATCCTCAATAACAGAGAATTTGTTGTGTGCTCTTCTGCATTTTGTTATGGCATGGAAATAGCCCGTGTTCTTGTCCCCCAGAGTTAGCCACAACTGCTTGCTCCTCTGTTTCCAATAATCCTCTTCTTCTTTATAGGCAGAGTTTAGAGCTTTGGTTAGTGTTGAAATCAGATCCTCGTTAGGTTGTGATTTAGAAAGTTCTTTGTCAAGGTTCTCTTTATTTATCAAGATAGCTTTCTGGCTATTGACATATTTTTCTCTGCTCCATTTAGACAAGGCCCGACGACAATTGGAGATGCGGCTGTCAACCGGACAACATACGATCTCTTTCCAGGTTCTTGAGATTAGCTCTTTGATTTTCTGGTTATTCTTCAGCCTTCTGTCGTATCTAAATAGATGTCTGGCTTTCTTTTTGGAGGGATCGAAGACAATGACCAAAGGTCTGTGATCAGAGCCTTCAAAGCATAGGTACTTGCATCTTCCTGAGGGAAATTCGTTAGCCCAGTCACTATTGGAGATTGCTCTGTCCAGTCTGCAGTGGATCCACTCGTTGTTTCTTTTCCCTCTCCATGAAAAGAAATTCCCCGAATGTCTCAGATCAAACAGATTGTTCTGTGACAGAAAGGCTCAGAAGTCGCAAAAAGTGCTTTCAGCTCTGGGATTGCCTCCAGATTTTTCATTATTATCCACGAGATCGTTAAAGTCTCCTGTAAGAAACCAGGGTGCATGGCGGGTCTCTCCAATCGTGGTCAGTTGGTTCCACAAATCTTTCCTTTTAGAGTGATTTGGTTCCCCGTAGGTGAAGGTAGCAAAGAAGTGTTTGTCTTTATAGCAGATAGCTGTGTCAATGAAGTCTTTGCAATCTTTAATGATTGTTATCCCAATGTCTTGTTTCCAGAACAGGGCGAGGCCTCCTCCTCCTGGCGTATGTGGCGAGATCAAGAAGTGTGAGTTGTAATTCATCCAGTTGAGCTCCTTCAAAACCATCTGGTCGGGGTTTTTTGTTTCCATGAGGAAAAGGATGTCCGAGTGTTCTTTTTGGGTGATTTCCCAGATCCTCTGAACTGTTGTGGGGTTCCCCAAACCACAACAGTTCCAGCTTGCTATCACTAAGAAAGAGGATTGTGAGGTTCCCGAAAATCCTCCGAGGAACCCCTCCTCCTGGTATCCGTCGTGGTGGCTGGTATCATCTGTTGTCTCTGTCTCCTCGGGTGATTGCTCTGGCCACTTACACTGGCTTTTCGTGCTCTCTGGCTTGGTGAGTGTTGAATTTGAGATATGGGTCTTTGTCGAGAGCTAGCTCCAATAACAACTGTGGGATTCGGCTGTGACCGGATTCTATTTGGGGGTCTCCCTCTCCTCTTTTTTTCGGCTGGTTTTGCAGGGATTAGGTTCGAAGTCTCCACTTCCTCCCTGAGATGTTGTTGATCTGCTAGCATACTTGCTTGGTGGGAAAGGACGGCTGCTTCAATTATCCCAGCTGCCGCTTCCGCCATCATTCCGTTTGTTTCACCCTGTAAGACTCTCTGAAGACGTGCCATACTTTCTGTAGGGTCCTCACAGTTTATGTATTGAACTGTGACCTCCCGTAGCTCATCCATTACTTGTTCTGTAGTAGGGATTGGTGGTGGTGTGGGGAAATCTTCTCTGTCAAGGTTTCTTCCCAAAGACTTGGGCATGGAGAATTCTCTCTGTCTTGTTGATGTTGAGTCTTCAATGCTGTTTTCTTTGTTCTCTATAGGTTTTTCTCGCCATTCCATTCGAGGTGATGTTTGTCTATTCCTCTTAGCTCCCAGATTTTCATTTTCATAATTTGTGGTTCTTTTGTGTGATGATCCTTCCTTTCTGTAGGATTCTACTCCTGCTTGTTGCGTTCGATTGCCTTCCTCTCTGTGCTCACCAAGCTGCCTGTAATCTCTAGCAATACCGGGGGGCCGGTAGCTCTGATTGTAAGTTGACGGGTGTGTTCCGAAAGGTCTGCCATGCCTGTCTAGCCTTTGGTGGAAATCATCGTGGATCTGGGTTTGAGGCTTGAACGTTGGGATATGCGGTGAGGACTGATTATGCATGTCCTTGTGGGGAGTTGATCGTCGATTGGGGCTCTCCAGTGGGGATTTTGGGTAGGTTAGATTCCTCTCTGGGCAGTCAGTAACATCGTGGCTAAGATGGAGGCAGAAGGTGCAATGCTTTTCCAGACGTTCATACTCTAGTGTGATTATCGACTCTTCTCCTGTAGCATATTCCACAACCGTATTCGTTGTGATGGGCTTCAGTCCATCTATTAGTACTCGATCCTAGCCGACGTCCGAGTAATTTCCAAATCTTCGACCTCTCCTATCTCTTGTCCTATGTTGTATAGCATATCCTTATGCCAGTAGTGTAGGGGGAGGCCCTTAACACGGATCCAGAATGGAATTTGAGAGGGGAAAGTAACTGAGATGATGGGCTCCCATTTTTGCAGTATTATCATCCATCCCGCAAAGTGGAAAGGTCTTTGAGCTAGGACCTGATTGAGATCTGCTTCAGAGGTAAACCGAAACTGAAAGCAATTCTGCTCCAGATCTGACCATGTTGCTCTATTTCTGAGGTAGGGGATAACTGACCATATTCGTTGCTCCCTTGGGTTTGTTACTCTTCCGATGAGAGTCAGTGAGTTGTTCTGGATCAGTTCTGAGGTGTCGAGGGGTGGTGCTCTTATGCGTTTGACGAGGTTGTTGGCTTGTGCTTCCGCTGGTCCTTTGTCTTTTTCTGCCAAAGAAGCGTCTTGTCGTTATGGGTAGGCACTTTCTCTGTTGATTCTCAGTGGTTCGAGTTCTTAGTGAGGGTTTAGACCGCTGAGAGTACTTGGGAGATACCTGGGATACAGTTGGCTACTCGAGGATGTTGAAGACGGTTTCAGACGTAGGTTGAAGCGTTTGAAGATGCTCAAGAGACGGTTGTTTGGAGGCTTACCAGTGGTGAGAAGGACCCTTCGACATGACAGCCGGGGACGGAACCGCGGTATTCCCAAAACCAGAGGTGGTTTCAAATGTCAACTTACTTCTTTTAGCAACAAAAAGTGGGTGAGATCTGGTTAAAAAGGGGGAGGAGCCAAAGACCGTTGGTCACAAATTACCTAGAGACTCGTGCCTGAGAGAAATGAGTTCTCGCATTAATTGTATTCAAATGATCTAATAGTGAATTATAAACGAATCTTTTATAAAAAGAGATTTATACATATGTATTGTTTTGGTAGTGCCAATATTCTTTGTTTTTCTTGGTAAAAATCGAGTAAAGTTACAAAAAAGAATCTGCGAATTAATCACATGATGTTTATCACTCGTAGAGAGAATGAGAGATACACGGTACACCTGGTCTAATAAAATAACATATAAATAATGTTGAACCAGAAAATCACCACTAGAGTTTGATTAACAGTTGTAGATTTCGGATAATAAGATCTTTTTATTGATAGTAAAAAAGCGTAGCAAGTACAAAGAAAGGTATAACCGAGAGGTTATGCCGAAGTGAACAGAGGGTTTGCGAAGTAAACTAGAAAGCGTTGGAGTCTCTGGTTTTAGCTCTGCTGCTCTCTAGATTGTATGAGTTGTTTTTTCTGGCTTCAAGATCTTTGTATTTATAGGAATGGGAGGTCGGTTACTCCGAACTCCTTTTCCTTTTTGCCTTCTTGTATATTTCCATATCACAGATATGGAAATATCCCTTATTCTCTGAAGAATATGGAAATTCTCCATTATCCTTTGGGCTAATCCGATGTTTCCGGTCTTCCATAATTATCTTTTAAGAGTTTTCCTTTAATCCGAGCTAGGTCGGTGCGGTCTTCCTGGTCGTGATGGACTTAGGTTATTGCGGGGAAGGCCTTTTAGGAAATGTGCTCATTTCCCCTCTAACAGTAAGTCCCCCCCTAGTTCGGCAAGACTGATTGTAAATCAGGTCGGCGGACTTCATAAAGTTATAGATGGGTTTGACCTCGCAATAACTGTCAGTTCGTCAAGAGCGTTGCTTTTGCGATAGCCAGTTCAGCTCGATTTTTAGCGGATTTATCACGCGGTGCTTTTTATTTATTAAATACTCCGACCCATTAGGGTTTCTGCTTTTCAGCGCGAAATGCGAAGGGTTCGCCAGACGGCGAGATTGTAAAAATCTTGACACGTGTCTTCTTAGGAAACTGTTGATATTTCTTTTCGATTTTATTTACTTTACTTTTTACCTCTTCATCTTCTTGCTTTCAGAAAATCTTCGTATCCTTTGCCGATTTCTGCAGCAATCTTCTATAGCGATTCGCCTATTTTTCCTTTGCTCTTTTATTTCATTCAAAAACTTCAAAGATGTCTGCTGCTTCTTCGCATTCTTCTTTTGATGACGACGAGATTTGTCTCGCCGACCGTGCCAAGCAGGCCTGGATTAGTCATGTTGCTTCTACTTCTTCCATTTCCGGGGGCTCTTCGGACTATCGGGATGAGATTCCGTCGGATCATCCCGATGCGGACTCCGAAGTGGATTTGGATGGTCCTGGGCCATCGAGTTTTGAATCAGAGATCAGGGTCGAGGGTCTCCCTAAGAAGATTGCAATGTCGCTGCACAGGACCGGCGTTAAAGACGGGAGGACTTGGATGACCGCGGAAAGGCTCGAGGAGATTCGTTTGAAGTGCGGTTTTCCTGACGAGGTCGAACTGCTGCTTCCTCAAGTTCACGAGAGAGTGACCACACCCCGAGAGGGCTATTTCTGCTTATACGAGTGTCATTTTGCAGAGTTTGGTCTTCAGTTCCCAATCTCGTTGCTTCTCCGTTATTGCGAACGGAGGAAGATGCCGGTGGCGTAGCTTACTCATGCCGCAATCCATCACTTCAATAGTTTGGCGGCGGTGGCCTGTGCTGCTATGGTTCCTTTCAACTAGGACATTTTCGAGAGGGTGTCCATCCTCAAGAGAGGAAGGGTGAATCGTGGCGGATGGCGCCATTTTTACACCATGATGAAGGAGGGGATCATAGGTGGTGATCCGACGAGCAAGGTCTACGAATGGGACCGGTTTTTCTTTTTCGTGAAGATTAACGAAGCGTCCATTGGTGGTTCTGATTTTACCCTCTTCAGAGCTTGGAGATCGGCGCCATGTAAGGAGAATGGAATTTTTTTATTGCATTTTATTTTTGACTTTGATTGACGACTCGCCGGGTACTAATGCGTTTTTGTTTTTTGTTTTTTTTCCATTATAGTGGAAATACGTCTGGGAGATGACCCGATCGGGTTTGGTGAAGACGTCAAAAGAAGGCGGTTAAGCCTGCCGAGGAGAAGGCCAAAACCTTCAAAATCTGGTAGGTTTTTTAAGCGAAGTGGTTTTAATTAGTTGCTTGATGACGAGGTCTCATGGACGCATTTGTTGTTTTCGTAGCCTTTCGGAAGGCTTCGCGGCCGAAACCCGTAAGTGCTAGCCAAAGAAGAGGAAGGCGAGTTCGCCGGCTCCTGCAGATGCTCCGGCAAATTCTTCTGTAAAGAAGAAGAGGATGACTTCCCAGGGTCCACCTAGCTTGGTGGATTCTGATGACGCCGAAGAGAACGAGACTCTGGCGAGGTAAATTTTATGAGCTTCGTGTGTTATTATATTGTGTCGAAGAGATTTCTGACGCTACATTGCTTATGTTTCTCCCCATCTTTTTTTTATTCTTAAAGTTTTTCTAGGGCGGCGGTGCTGGAGAGATTGAAGCAGATGCGGGCTGAGAAAGCCGCAAGGGGTTCGCAGGGTGAGGCGTCCCATACTCCCACCTCTCAAGTCGCGGATGGAGAGGGTGCTTCTGATGCTTCCGGGAGCCGTCGCGAGGTTTCCTCCCTTTCAGTCTCTGGTCCCTCGTCACCTCGTGTGGATGTTCGTTCTCTGCTTCAGACAGGTGTGTCTCAAAGCCCTGAGACACATGTCGCAGAATAGGTAGGTCAGGATAAGACCGAGGGGCCTGACGCAACTCATTCTGAAGGGCCGACTCCTCTCGAGGTTGCTCCGGACACGGAAGATGCTGGTCTTTGTACTCCTGAGGAGGCTGCTCCTTCTCAAAAGGATGCTGGCGTAGAAGGCGTCAATTCAAATGCTCCGGCTGAACCTAAGCAGGAGGAGGAGTTTTTTTATTATAATCCTCATCATCTTCGCATGAGATGGGACAAGAATACCCCGGCGATGCTTAATCGCAATTTTGCCTCTGATTTGATCTGGAAGTGCCGGGAGAAGTCGCGATGGGGCAAGCCGCTTCATGAGTTGAAGCTGATGAATTCGATCTCCTCGGCGAGCCAACTGGTAGCTCGGATAATTTTATTTATCAGATGATTGTGCTACCCATCTTCTCCTTGTGTTTTTTTTGTGGGTTTCTGATAGTAAGTTGTACTACAAGGCTTAGGAAAGTATATGTCCGCGTTCGCTGCGTATGATGACAACTGGTGTGAAGAGTAAGCGATGGTGAATGCTGCGTGTTCCGAGATCCAGGAGCTTAAAAAGGCGGAGGAAGATAATCGGCTTCTCAGGGAGCGATGCGCTCAACTGGAGGGCACCGTTGACACTTTTAAGGTCTAGGTGCATGAAGCTAATCGGCTCCGTAAACAAGTCGCTGTTCTCCAGGCTCATAACAAGCTTCTCGAAAGGTGGAATGAGGAGAACCTGCAAGGATTTCTTGCCGAGAAGGAGAAGCTCCAAAAGGCTTGCGTGGAAGCTGCTCGAGATGCTGCTAACAAAGTTTTTGACGATATGTCTACTTGGTTCAAGCCGCGTTTAGACCGGATTCAAGCCTCGCTAGTTCAGCGCGAAGAGGTGGAAGCGGCCCTCGTTAGTGTGGAGAAAAGCGGCCATATGGTGGCTTTATTAAAGAAGATGCAAGAGAAAGGGTGGGGGCTTCCTGTCGGGACCCTTCCGTCTTTTGAAAGGGAGTTTGCCAAGTGGAAGGCAGCCAGTGATGCTATCGAGGAGATAGTAATCACGAGCAGCGATCTTAATCTTCCAAGCTGCTCGGAGATTGACGGGCTGCAAAGATGAGCTTCGGCAATATATGTATTTATTTTTATTCTTTTTTTTGTTGTATG